GTTGTATTTTTGTCTGTGTACTAGGGTTGCGGGATAGGAAATGATGAAATATGACACAGTCGCTTAAAATAATTTCTTGCTTTGACAAATTATATGTGAGCGTGGGCCTACTTTGTGGGAATGCTGGGATTAGTTGCTGTGATTGACAAACGTGCCACTCAAAGAAAGAGTGGGGGTGGGGTTACAAGCACACGGTGTGTCTGGTTGGTTCAGATGATATATGGATGTTCAAGTGAATAAAAACAAGTTGTTTTTTTGGTGAATGGAAATGCCCAAACTACTGCATATTTGAGCATTTTCAAAATGTTGTAAATATGCTAAAACTATTATTTATATATGATTAATACTGTATACTTGGAAATGCTCACTAAACAAACAGGTTGTACCTTTGATAYAAAAGTCCCACCCGTCCAATTAGATATAAGGCTGAAAGTCACAGTCTGACCTGGCAGCTTTTTTTGACCCAGATTACCCAAATAAACTTAATGTGTTTCTGAAAAAGGTATATTTAATCCAGCAACAACGTAAAAGCTATTTAAAAATCACCTAAGAAAACACCCAATTCAATTATCTTAGTTAAAAATGGTTTATTTTAATATTTAGTTAGGAAAATGTCCCATTCCTTTACATGTAGCGGCACTAATGCATATAATGCATGATCTCACAATATGAAGAGGTCACACCTAATGTCATTTGCAAGATTCAACCAAAGCAACTGTATCTTTATTCCTTCTCATCATAAGAAGATCTAATTGTTAAAACTGTGGCATGAAAGATGACAGTTTAGGCCTTTATTTGTGTTGATATTTCAGTGTTTCAGATGTATGAATTTTTCCAGTAAATGTCCAGTACAGGAATAAGAAGACATGTATTCTTAAGCTGAAAGCATTTTTCTTCCCAACATGAGAATAAATTTTCTCTGTGCATTCTGGCTTCCTCCCACTGTACAAAACCTGGCATGTTCAGCCTGATTGGAGACACTAAATTGTCTCCAGGAGTTAGTTTATGTCATGTGTTCTTGTTTTGACCAGGTGACCTGTCCAGGTGTACCCTGTACCCTCAATTCAATAAATGAAAACTCACAACAGAAATAAAAACGAAACATGATGGGTTTAAACGTGTGATGAACTCCATGCGTTGTTCACTGGAGGTGATGCTGAACACATTTGTTTTAAGGCATTTTAAAAGATTGTTAAAATGTAAACAATGAGATTATGACAGCTGCACTGAGGACACAGATGATTTGTTTACAATGTTTCTCTCTGTCAAGTGTTCTCTCATGTAAATTTGCTAAAACATATGTGGAAAGCTCATAAAATAACTTGTTCTAAACCTATTTGTTCAATTTCTTCCTCTTCAGGACTTTGACGGAGCTGTTGAAGCAGCCGGGAGAAGCAGGGATGATGGACGGAGCCGGAGTTCATCATCCTATAGGAACAAATGGCATTGCTGCCAGGACGCTGCGTTCCAACAATGGTAGGTGTGTGTGTGTGTGTGTGTGTGTGTGTGTGTATGTGTGTGGGTATTCTCTACTATGGACAGACAAAAAGTCTACTTGTGGGGACCAAATGCTATGGGACATCCCCACAAGTTAAGGTTTAGTTTAGGTTTAAAGATAGCTTTGTATATGTGTGTGTAAGTGTAAGTGTAATTTTCACACAAACTGAACTAATGAAGGGAAACTGAAGCTAATAACTCACTTAGCCTTTTACAAAGAGCTACATCCTTTTTTATTAATTCATTTGACATTTTATAAACCATCTTATTTTGCAATAGCTTTCTTACTGAGCAAATGGCAACACTGAAGCTGACTGACGGCTGGCAGTAACAGGCCCCCTGAGCAATTTCATTGAACAGCCCTGTAATTATGTCTCCAAAGAAGATGCTTTACAGCCAGCATTGACCATAAACTACATCTCCCATAATGCATGTTGATTATTTCACCTGCAAAATTTCGACATCCCACCACTAGGTGGAGGTGCACAGTATTCAAATGTAGCCGGCAGCTGTTGAATTTCATTGTGTAAAAACTACATTTAACAGCATTTTTGCTGGCTACTTTTGCCATGACCCAGTTGTACTGGGAAGTGGGAATTTCCCACTTACAAGTCGTGAACTTAAAYCGGAACACCCATTCAATGAGAAGTCCATGTTGGAAAAGGGGGWAGTTCAGAGTTCAAGATGGCAGCCTCTCGCCACAACTCAGCAGTGAGTAAAACACTTTTAGTAGTTTTTCTATGTATATTTCACATTTAGTCACTTGTACACATACTACTTTTCAGYGTTTATAAGAGGATGTGTTAAAATGTGGTTTCTGTGCAGGAAATACCACATAGAGCTCAGTTATTGTTTATCCGTGGGGCTCAGTCACCATAATGCTCTTGTGGCCCTTGGTGGAAACGAGTTTGGCACCCCTGATTTAATGGTTTTGAAATTGTGGCTTTTTAACACCTGGTCCATGCTGAAAATCATAAGGTTGTACATTAGTTATAAAAGAAGGACAAAAATTATCTTAACTAAASATATGAAACAGAAATATGAAGCAAACCTGCTGATTCAGCAGCTTAGTACARTGATTATAGAGTCCAGTGGTTTAAATCCAGGAGGTGACAGTGAAGTGTGAGTGTTATTTAAAGAACTGCAATCTATCAATGTCCCAACTTCACAATACATAGACATGGTGTGTTTCACGGCACATTAACTTGGGAGCGTCTCAGAAACTAAAGGCCTCTCACACTTTGGCTGTTGTTCATAAATCAGCCRTCAGAAGAAAACTGAACCAAGATGCAAGAGTCACAATAAAAAAACCACAGATGTTGTTTTAGGTCATCTTTATGGAGAATGTGTCAAAAAAGGTTTTATAAGTGCCACGGATATGTTGACACTTTTAGATGGCACACAGCATCTATGGGTGAGGAGGGGCAGGGACAGACAGGTCATATTTAATTAAGAAGTAATTAGCTGCTCCAGCTCCAGACCCACAGATGGAGAACTGTGTGACCCATCTGTCTGCCTCTTCCTTTTCATGCTTTGACCACAAACACAGACACACATAAACACAAGCTCAGTATAGCCCAGTGTTTTTTTCAGCGATCTGAGACTTAACTTAGTGGACATACTTTCTGAGGGCTCATTTGTAACGAGCCTGATGTCATGTTCAAAGGACAAAGATCCCCGCCGCCTCACAGTTTTACATCTTGCACTGGGGCTGTCCAGCTGTGATAAAAAATGCTTTGCCTGTGTTGGATTTGAACCCAGAAAACGCCTCCAGCGTTAGGTTTAGGTTCCCCACATGCTGCTGTGCTCACTGTAAAAGTACAAAAATACAGTAATGATACAGACACACATGTTCCATAGGCCCTGCTCCTGTTCAGATGATAATTATTCACGTTTTTTTTCTCACACTGTTGAAAACACTTGCACTTGCAGTGTTTATTTTCACACTGAGACAAAAAAGAAAAGACTCCTTTCGCTTTCATCTTCCCACTGCTGTTTAAAATAAGTTTTAGCCTTGTTTTCACCTCTTCCTCTGCTTATTAACACTCTGTGTTTTTCTGCCCCGCTTTCTCTCATTCCTTCCATTTCCCCCCAACATCAAATAAATCGTCCCCCCCTTTTTTTCATACCCAAATCTTTTTCTTTCCCGTTTCTTTGTTTTGTTTTTGTCTCCTTTTACTCTTTACAGTTTCACAAAACCACAGCCTAAAGAACACTTCCAAACAGATAAAACAGAATTGCTGAAACATACTGATAACCAACATTTCTGGTCAGCTGGTGTGAAAGAAATGAAGGTAAATGAAAATGTAAATGAAAGGTCAAATGAATGCCCGAATTAGACGCTGGAAAGTTCTCAGACTTGAATTTTTATTTGCAAAAATGTAAAGTTACCATTTTAGAGCACTTTCACCCAGAGACTTCCTCTGGCTGAGATCTGAACAAAATGACCTTGAGCTTYGTRTCATAAAGRGTTTTGTATTAGAGTCAAGWCATGACCCTGGAAATGATACGGTAAATAAGTGACTTGACTCTCAGACATCCATTCCTACAAATCAAAACATTAGGTGTGTAGGTCGTTTTCTTGAGGTTTGTGTTAAATTAAATAGAGACTGGTTGATTACTAACTTTTAAAGTAAATTATTATAATCAGTCAAAATAATATGAAGATTACAGTTTACCCCAGGGCCAACCCTAGACGATTTGGCACCCTAAGCAAGATTTCAGGAGGCGCCCCTCGTGCATTTTTTTAAAATCTTACTGACAATTTTCTTATAATAACATACACAATTAAAT